GGGGATGGAGGTTGGGAGGGGGGGGGTGGGGCGACCGTCGAGGGCGCGGGTGGGTGTGTTGGCGACGCTCGCGACGGGGGCGTTCGCGTGGGCGTTTCTGCGCGCGTCGGGGACGCGGGACGGGGGCGGGGAGGGTTCGGAGCTCGCGCACGGGGCGTGGACGATGTTTCGTGTGGTGTCGCGATCGGCCGTGCTCGGGATCTGTCTCTTGGGCGTGCTCTCGGGGTTCGGCGCGGTGCACTTTCCGTACGCGACGGTGCGGATATTTCAGCGCGCCGTCCCGGACGCGGAGGTGTCGAGACTCGAGCGTAAGGTTGTGCAGAGCTTAGAGTCGGTGATCGAACGTAAGAAGCGAGCGGCGACGCTCAGACGAGAGATGGAGCGAGAGGCGAACGCGGAGCGGTCGTCGAACGGTGGGAGTCTGTTCAACAGACTCGCGAACGGTTTCGCCCTTCCGGGCTTTCGCGAGGCGCGCGCGAAGCAAATCGTCGCACTCAACGCAGAGATCAGAGCGTTGGAGATGGTGAACGACGCGCTATTCTTTGATCTTCACGAGGTTAACATGCAAAGAGAGAGAGCGAAGATGTTGAGGACGCCGTACGGGCGGTTTCTGGAAATGTGCGGCGTCGCCATGGCGGTGGTGTGCGGTTGGCGCTTCGTCACCGGTTTGAAGCGTTTGATCTTCAAACAGACCCCTAAGAGTGATCCCATCTCCTTCGCTCTTCACTTATTTCTCGCGAACAAGTCGGTGCACGTCGATCCGGCGGTGCTGGCGCAGTACCTCAGCCTACTCTTGATCGCGTTTCTCGTCATCAACTCCATGCAAACCTTCATCCTGCAGCTCGTGAGGCTGTTTTTTGCCGTCGGTACCGGAGTGACCACGGATGCGTTGGTACTGATGACGACGGAGATGGTCGGTCTCTACTTTCTCTCCACGGTTCTTCTCGTCAGAGAGCAGCTTCCCGAGGAGTACCGCGCCATCATCACCGAGGCCTTGGGCGCGGATCTGGAGTTTCGATTCTACGCCAAGTTCTACGAGTTGATCTTCATGGCCTCCGCCGCTCTCACCGTGATCTCGCTGTACGCCAAGCACGTCACCGCGGCGTCGACGGACGACGTCGGCGGCCGCTCCGCCTCCGTCTCCGCCTTTGCCCACGGACGCCAATCCGAGCTCAAACTCTCGTGAGTTCACGAGAACGACCGAGCGATGCGATCGTTCCCGTCCGAGCGCCGCGTCTCGATGGCGCTCGACGTCGCCGCTCCGGTCCCGCCGCTCCCGGCCCGCCGCGCGTCCACGCATCGATAGGCGCGACACGATTTTGTGTCATTCATCCCGAAAGATCTGAAAAAGCGCAATGTGCGATCGATCGCGACGCGATTCCCATCGATCGCGCTCGCGACACACGCCGACGCCGTCGATCGACCCGCGTTCGCCCGCACAGACGCCAAACATGCCCGCCCCCGAGCTGAAGTTTGAAACCTTACAGGTCCACGCGGGCCAAGCCCCCGATCCCGCGACGAATTCGCGCGCGGTCCCGATCTACGCCACGTCGAGTTACACCTTCAATTCGAGCAAGCACGGCGCCGATCTGTTCGGCCTGCGCGCGTTCGGGAACATTTACTCGCGAATCATGAACCCGACGAACGATGTGTTCGAAAAGCGCGTCGCGGCGCTGGAGGGTGGCGTCGGCGCGCTCGCGGTGTCGAGCGGGCAGAGCGCGCAATTCTTGGCCATCTCGACCATCTGTCAGTGCGGCGATAACATCGTCGCCACGCCGTCGTTGTACGGTGGAACGTACAATCAATTTAAAGTGACGCTGCCGAGGTTGGGGATCAACGTGAAGTTCGCGAAGGATGACGATCCGGCGAGCTTCGAGGCGTTGATTGACGCGAACACGAAGGCGCTGTACGTGGAAACCATCGGGAACCCGAGGTTTGCGGTGCCGAACTTTGCCAAGCTCAAGGCGATCGCGAGTAAGGCTGGGATTCCGTTGATCTGCGATAACACGTTCGGGGGCTGCGGATACGTGTGCCAGCCGCTCAAGCACGGCGCGGATATTGTCGTGGAGAGCGCGACGAAGTGGATCGGCGGTCACGGCACAACCGTTGGCGGCGTCATCGTCGACGGTGGCACCATGAACTGGAACAACGGTAAACACCCGATCATGACCGAGCCCTCTCCGGGGTATCACGGCCTGAAGTTCTGGGACACGTTCGGTCCGGACGGCATCTTGGGCGCGAACGCCACGTTCATCATGCGCTGCCGAGTCGAGGGCCTTCGAGATCTCGGCATGTGCCAGAACCCGTTCGGTTCTTTCAACTTTATCATTGGCTTAGAGACGCTCTCTCTTCGCATGGAGCGTCACTGCTCGAACACCCTGGCGCTCGCAAAGTTCTTGGACTCGCATCCGCAAGTCAGCTGGGTTTCGTACCCGGGCCTCAAGTCTCACCCGTTCCACCAGCTCGCGTTGGAGTACTTCCGCGAGGGTAACTTCGGCGCTGTGCTCACGTTCGGCATCAAGGGCGGTCTCGACGCTGGCATGAAGTTCATCGATAGCGTCAAGCTTGCCTCGCATTTGGCGAACGTAGGCGACGCCAAGACGCTCGTCATCCACCCGGCATCCACGACGCACGAACAACTCAGTGCAGAAGAGCAAAAGGCCTCCGGTGTGTCTCCGGATATGATTCGCGTCTCCGTCGGCATCGAGCACATCGACGATATCTGCGCCGATTTCGCCCAAGCGCTCACTGCGTAAGGCGGTAAATCTCGCCAAAGTCGACGCGGTACATGATCCCCCCGGACGCACTTTTTTGACATCACATAATACGTCGTATGCGGCGCGCGTCCTTATATGTAATTAACGATGGGAAACCAACAATGAACGAATCATGCGCGGTCGTTGAGTCTTGGAAGATGGGAAAATTGTTACAACGCGTGGCTTCCCGCGCCGAACTACTGTCTTTTTGATATACACGCACACACCTTGAAAAAAGCAAGAGTCGTGCTCACACGAGGGAGTTCTTCTGCCTCTCTTAGAGATCGTCGCGAAGGATTTGGTTGTGTCTTTCGTTGTACTGCTCAAGCACCCAAGTGGGTAGCGTTGAGACGACGCGGGATCTGTGCTTTGAGCTGTGTAGACGTTTGGCTTCGTGTTTCCACTTTTCTGCTCTGTGAGTCGCCTCGGACGGCTCGTCCGGGCTGTCCAGAACGCTCGTGCGCTCGGACGCGCGCGCGGTGGGATAGTACAACAAGCAGCTTCCGGCAACAGCGCCATCGGGAGAGTGGTCGGGACGGACGATCTGCGGGGAAGCAAAGTGGAACGACGTGCCAAATTCGTCTCCCACGCTGTGACCGTACACGTCCATCCGACGCCGGTAACTCTCGCGTGCGAGCGCTTCCGCCGTTCTCTTCGCGTCATCGACGCGATCGAAACGATCAACAGAGTCCTCGACTTGGATATTCACCACGTCGTCGTCCTCGTACCCGCTGTAGTTGGGCTCGTCAACGACAAAGTGCATGGGCGACTGCGCCCGCGGCACGACACGTTGCTTCTTGTGGCTTCGTCCACGAGGTCCGGAGTGTCCACTATCACGGTGTCCTACATGTCCGTGATTTCCCATCCCCGTCGTTCCGCTGTCGTGCGACCCGCTCGACGTGCGTGGAACTGGAAGGTTTTCGCCGCTTCCGCGCAACTGCGAGCGCAGGCAGTACGTCGACGGCGCGATGCGGACAAATGTCTCATCTTGGCTCAGCGCTGCGGTGACGGAATTGTTCGGAGTTTTGCATTGTCCCCAGCTGTACATCGATAGCCTCTGTGCGGTACCAACAATGGACGCCACCGTCATCCCTTGCGTTCCGCTCTCCGCGAGCAACACGTACGCACTGTGTTTGATCGTACCAATTTCATATCCCAACGCCACGGCGTCGGCGCTCCAATTCTTTTTCGCACGCTGTACCATCAAAGCCTCTTCATCCGATTCACTCGATGACACCGGAGCTGGCCGATCCTTCCCCAGAGTACTCACCACGGTGTTGTCCGGCGTTCGCTTCCCCTCCATCTGATTCTGCGCATCCGCCTCAGCGCTTGCCGATCGCATTTGTCCCTTCGTCGTCGCCTCGGCGTGCGCCTGCTTACGCTCAGCGTCGCTGGAATTGTTATTACCGCGATTTGCTCGCGATTTTACCGCCGTCATGTCCGTTTTGGCCGCGACTTTCGGTTTCGTAAAAGTTGTCTCGCCGCCGAGCGCTAATATCGCCGCGCGCGCGTCCTGCGTCAAGTTCGACGTCACGTCATCGTCAGTCACCCAGTTTCTCGCAATCAAACGTCTCAGAACGATCCATCGACGTCGTGTCCACGCTTCCATCACGTCAAACCCGCTTTTATCACCGATTTCGGCTCCTGATTCGGTTCCTACGTCGCGCGTAGCGAAGCCTTCTGGGACCCATCGTCCCCCCCGCGTAACGACCGAGACCGCTCCGCCGCCGCCCACACCTCGCGCGACCCCTGGACGTGGAGCGAGACGTCGCACGACGACGAAAAAACGTCTCCACGACCAGATCCCGTCCTTTTCATCGAGAACCCCCCCCCCGTCGCCGTCGACGCCGCGCGCGACGTTTCCCGCCCACCCGTCCCGAGCGCCCGCACTCGGCGCGTCGAGACAGATTTCTCCCCGTCGTCCCTCCGCCCACGCGCGCGACGCCGTTTCGACGCCACCGACCCCTCGGTCGTTTTCCCACCCATCCGAACCATCGCGCGACGTCCCCGACCCCCTCTCCATTCGACCGCGCATCGGACATTCTCGCCGCGAATGTCATCCCACGCGCCCGTCGCGGGATCACCGCGGGGCGCGACCGCGGGGTGTTTCCACCCCCCGACCCCCCGTTCGAGCTCGATCTCTCGCGCGCGCGCGTCGCATCGATCACGAACGAGCTCGCGGACGTACCCGAGCGCTTCGCGCGCGGTGTCGTCCGTCGCGTCGACGACGCGGTCCGTCGACACGTCGGCGTTCGCGTGTGCCGTCGTCGAAACGACGGAGATCCGGGTCGGGCGCGCGCGATATTTCCAGCGCGTATTCGGGGGTGGTTTTCGTCGATGATTTATACACACGCGCGATCGCGCGCGAGGGCGGGGAAACCCGGGCGACCGACCGCGGGGATTCATTCATGTGGGCGACGCGGGGTGGTTTGGCGAGTCGTGAGTCGTCGGGGGCGACAGGGGGGGTATTTTCAGGAAAACGAGGGGGACGAAGGATTCTTGGGTCGTGACTCGACGCTCGGGGGACTCGGAAAAGCTAAATATCCGCGTCATCGATATTTTCTCGAGCCAATGAAAACGAGCTTTGGGTGAAAGATCGCGCGCGAAAAGGTGATTCTTTCACAGGTCGAGACTCGGAAAAGATGAGTGGCGCGCCAGAGCGTGGGTTCGTCTCCCCGAGTCCCACATCGGGACGGCATCGCCCTCATCGCTCGGCGCAGCCGTGTAAGAGACTGAGCAAGAAGACCTGTAAGAGCGCGCGCGCGAGATGGCCTTGTAACGGCAACGTGCGCATGGAGTCGTCGGCGTTCGGCGGGAGCGGCCCGGGGGCGTTGTGGGTGAACATGTACGTGTTCGCTGGCGTCACCACGCACGTTAGCGCGAACAGTGAGATCGCGGAGACCGGAGTGAGCCATTCCGAGAGCCAATTCGGGGTTAATCCGAACGGAAGCGAGCCGAGCATCAAGCCGGCGCCGCCCAGAATCTCCGCCGCGCCCGTCCACTCGACGTGAAATCTTTTGCTCCCCGGAACGTTCCAAAACCCCCAGCACCCTCGGTGCGGCATCATGCTCTCAAAACCGTCCCTGAATTGAAAGTGTGCCCATCCGGCGGCGACGTACGTGGCCCCTATCACCGGCCACGTCGATTTACTCCACGCCATCGCTCCGGGCGCCGCCCGCTCGAGCGCCGGCCCGATCTCGCTCACGCACTCGTACGTCCCGATCGCGATCGCGGACCAGATCGCCAACACTACCGCGCCCTGTGCCTTGGGTTCGAGCGTGCTCACGAACGCACCGCGATAGCCGGGAGCGACCCAAGGGGCTTCGAGCGCCTTTTCAGCCTTCTCTGTTTCAGACGACGACGACGCGCGGACCGAGGTAACGCGCCCGGTCGCGCGACGATCGCGCGCCGGACGTCGTGATGTACTCGCGCGAGCGATCGCGGCGAGACCCGAGGTCGAGGGCGAGATGGAGGTCGCGACGCGCATGGCGATCCGGCGACGCGCGTCGAGGTGTGCGGAGTCGGCGCGCGACGACGGAGACGTCGCGAGAGGTACGCGCACACGGGTATATGTTACATAATATCACGAATGGTACATCTCGCGCGATCACGAGCGCTTCAGACCGACATTTTTGCGCCCAGACGGCGCCGTGGCGCCGACGACGTGATGTCCGCTCGCGTCCCGCTCCTGCTGCGGCGTCCTCTTTTTCGCTCGTTTCTTCTTCTCCGGCGCTCGCCCCTTCTCCCCACTGGCGCTCGTGCGTTCGATCCCGGACACGATGTGATTCGATATCGCCGCGATCGGGTTCGATTTGAAGGTTGGGTGCTCGAGCACGGCTTGCATGCGCGTCGTCTCTCGCGCCACCAACTTCGCCCGCGTCTTCGCCGTCGTCGCTCGCACCCTCGCTCTCGCCGCCCCATTCCGCCCTACATCCGCTAAAGAGAGCTCGAGTGATTTCATATCCGTCCCGAGCGACTTTTTCCGCCCACTCGAGAGCCGTTTCATCGTCCCCCGCTCGGCGACGCGAATCTCTGTCCGTCGCGTCGCCGTCGCGTCCGTCGTCAGTCTCTACCCACGCCCCCCGCACCCGTCCGCGTCGCACCCGGCTCGCCCTCGCGCGCGCGTCGATGACGCACTGTCTAAAAACCGCGCCCGTTTCGCGGCTTTACGCTCCAGGGACGCCGCGCGCGGCCTCGCCGCGAACGCCGCCGCCCCATCGTCCCGCCCTCGCGCGTCCCCGGTCGTCGACCCCTCGGCGCGCGCTCGGGTCCGTCGCGCCGCCTTGACGCGCATCGTCGGTTTCACCATCGCGCGCGCGGCCCGGGGGCGGGACGCGACGGGGTGTGCGAGAGATGTGCGTTTCGCAGTTCACGCCGATGATGACCGACCGATCGATGTGCGACCGACGTCGCACTCCGCGACGCCGCGCGCGCGCGAGCGATGCGCGTCGCGGCGCGGCGCGCGTGGACGACCGCGTCCCCGGTCGCGGGCGCAGCGACGCGGCCGTCGTCGGGACGGGCGCTACAGAATGAATCAGACATTCATCGCCTGTTTCTTCTCACCTCGCACGCGAACGCGCGCGCGGGCGAACGCGGAGGCGATCGCGCGCGCGGCGATGGACGTGACGCACGTTGAGCGAACGCGCGCGGTCGCGAGGGCGCTCGTGGCGGACGTCGGGCGCATGGCGCGGGCGCTTCGCGCGCGCGGCGCCGCGACGCGGGACGCGGGACGACGCGCGACGACGGAGGCGTACGGGCATCACTGTTATCTCGACGCGTCGACGATCGGTGCGGCGGCGGGGACTGGGGTGTTCGTTCGAGGGAACGTGGGCGCGGGACGGGTGGTGGCGACGTATCCGGGGTTGACGTACGTCGGCTCGGCGGTTCGGTACATGAAGGGATACCCGCGCGTGGGGGTGAATAACGAGTACCTGATGGCGAGGAGCGATGGATGCGTGATCGATGGGAAGCCGTGGGGACGCGGGAGCGACGAGGGCGACGGGTTCGGCGATTGGCCGGGATCGCCGGTGAAGCTCACGGAGGAGGAGGAGAGAGAGGCGGATGGCGGAAGTTTCTTCACGCGATTACTCCGACCGAGGCTGCCGAGAGAACGCAGAGAGCGTTTACTCGCGGAGTGCATGTCGTTAGAGCGAGATAATCCATACGCGTGCGCGCACTTTGCGAACCATCCGCCGGAGGGAACGTCGCCAAACGTCATCGTGGCGACTGTCGACATTCCGTCAGATCCGGATACGCGACGTTATGTGCCTAATGTAAACATCGAGCCCGACGACGGGGACAAGAGTAGTGAGAGTGTGTGGAGTATCATTCGTGACGGCGAACGCACGATTGGTGAGCGCGTACGTGACGTTTCCGCATCGTTATTCGGGGAAGATGCCGATAAGCCAAAAGCAAAATCTACCGAGCCGACATCCGGCGACGGATCGATCCGGACCTTAGTTCTCGTCGCCACCCGAGATATCGAAGACGGTGAAGAGATCTTTTTAAATTATAGACTCTCCACCCACGTGACGCCACCGTCGTGGTACACGCGCGTCGACCCCGAGGAGGACGACAGACGCTGGGCGTGATAGAAAAGTTAGCTACCTATTGTTGGACATTGGATTAGTTCTAGCCTAAATGTTCCTGCGTGCAATCGCCGTACGCGCACTTGCCTCCGACGAACGTTCCGAGCACGTTCGGCTTGGCGTTTCCCATGACGATGAAGTCAGCCGGTGAACCGTCGAGAATAATAAAGTCAGCGAACGCGCCTGAGGCGAGCGTTCCCACGAGCCCATCAAGCCGGAGCGCGAAAGCGGCGCCTTGCGTGAAAAGCTTCACAGCTTCTTCCGCGGTGAGGGCCTCGCGTTCTCTAATCACCGCGGCTCGCATAGCGTCGAACACGTCCGCGCTGACAATCGGCCAGTCGCTTCCACCTGCCAGAGGGACATCGTGATTGGCTAAGGTTCTGAGAGCGCAGTAACGGCGCGCTCGTTCGTACCCGAGCTTGGCGGCAACGCTCGGCTCGTCGATCACTATTTGCGCCGGTTGCACGCTCGCAACCGCTCCGAGTGACTTTAAACGCTCCGGTTGGCCTTCGATTGGGGACGTCAGATGCTGTGAGTGCTCAATTCGGAACCGGCGCACGTCTTGCTTTCCATTCTTCTCCTCAATGAACGAAGCGAGTTGGATTGCTTGCTCCACCGCGGCGTCACCAATGGCGTGGACGGCAACTTGAAGTCCCAAACTATCCGATGCCAGCGCTTCTTCGATGAGTACTGCCTCATTCTTGCCGGAATAAATGAGCTCTCCTCGTGTCGTCGGATCGTCGTCATAGGCCTCCAGAAATGCCGCAGTTCGCCCTCCTAGACTTCCGTCGAGAAACGCTTTGACACCTCCGATGCGTATCCGAGAAGAAATTCCACTCGCCGCGTCTTCTCTTGTCCATCCATCGTTCCAGGCTGGATGCGCCGCCGTTCTACGATAATCTCCAAGCGGCATGTACGACGTCACACGAATCGGCAGATCACCAGCGCGATCCCATCGCTCGAGCGTTTCGAAATCCTCCCACAACGTGTCGTACCCGTTCGGTCCAGCGAGTAGGCTCTCGATGTCGCCGAAATCCGCTATCGTCGTGATCCCGAGGCTCAACAGGTGCTCAAACGCTCGACGAAGCGCCTCATCGCGTTCAGCCCGCGTTCGCCGAGCAATTTTCTCCACCACGGCACTCATCTCGCTCTCTTTCAGTATACCCGATGGGTTTCCCCCGAGTCCCGCCTCCTCGAGAGCCTCCGAGCTCGCGAAACCGACGTGTCCACACACCCGCTGCGCCCACACGCGCGTCCCGGCAAACCGCTCGTCCAACCAATCCACGTTCGGAATCTCCCCACCCCAGCGTGTCTCGTCCCATCCGTGCCCAATGACCCATCCGTCGTCCCTCTTTCCGATCTCCCGCGCGAGGATGTCCACGAATTCCTCCTTATTCGACGCGTCCCGCAGGTTTGCGACGCCGAGCGAGACGCCGCCGCTCAGCGCATGCACGTGGGCGTCGACGAATCCCGGCGCGATCCATCGTCCAGCGCAATCATGAATGACTCGGACGTGTCCTTCGCGATTTATCGACGGTTTCACGGCGCTTATGCGTCCCGAATCACCGACGAAGACGTCGTGGAGTCCGTCCCGGTGGAGCACTCTGCAGTTGATGAGTGCGCGTCCGAGCGATGATGGCTCGGATACAACGAGCTGGCCGCCGTATCCGAAGGGACACTTATCACCGAACGTGTCCTCAATCACAGGCCAGGCGAGGGCGAGGATAGCGACGAGGAGGGAGACGACGAAGGCGACGTCTCGCCCCGAGAGCGCCATTGTGAGGTTGCAGAACAACACCGTGGGTGAGTGATGGCAAGCGCGCGTGTACATTACATGTTATTGTATCATCATAGCGGAAGAACAATTTACGTTCAGGGCTTTTCATCTACGAAGATGACTCTGAGATCTTGCGTAGTGCCTCCTTTTGCGACGTGTCAAAGCCGTGTTGGATGTCGCGCTCGTTCCATCGGAGACATCTTCGAAGGGACGAGATGAAATCACCGGTCTGATCGGCGTAGTTTATGGTGGGAATAGGATACTCGCTCATGCGGACGAAGACAGAGTCCCCGCTCTCGAGCTCACATCGATCCCGGCCGTCAAAGGAGACCCAGGCAGAGCATCGAGCATCCGACGCCACTCTCAGCTCAAGCTCGACGCTGTCAGGGAACACCACCGGTCGGAACGAAAGCGTGTGTGGGCAAATGGGAGTCATCAATATCGCTGGAACGTTCGGATGAACCATGGATCCGCCGGCTGAGACGCTGTAGGCTGTCGATCCAGTAGCCGTGGCGACAATTACTCCGTCAGCTTGAATCGTCGTGATGAGCTCGCCTCGATCGTACGCCTCGATATGCGATAAATACGGACTCGGACCGCGATCAACAAGGAGCTCGTTCAAAACTGTCACTGTTTTTGTGGCCTGACCCGTACCACCGGCACGCTTTGTGTCCTTGGCCTTGACGAGCGTGCACTCCAGTCGCATTCGAAGCGTGATGGGAACGCCGCCCTGGATGTTTGCCACCGATTTACCCCGACCGATCGATTGAAGGAGACTCGCAGCCATCTCGTCACTCGGGTGGTTCGTCAAGAATCCGAGAGAACCGAAGTGGAACCCGAGGAGTGGTGGGACTGGACCCTGGAATAGCTTACTGGCGTATAGGATAACCCCGTCGCCGCCAAGACAGACAACGATGTCGATCGTCCCCCACTCTTCCTGAGGGATCTGTCCGTCCACCTTGCGCACGCGCTCGGCACTTCTTTGAACTGACGCGCGATGGATACTGTCTTCTCCGATGTCTGCGGTCTCGAGCTCGTCCATGGTGTCCTCATCGAGAACGATCCTGATCCCCATTGTCATCATCGCGTGAGCGACCTCGATGAGCTCCGGAAGGAGTCCGTGACCGATCTTCTTAATGATAAAAACTCGCCTTGGTTGCTGACGCCACACCAGAATTAGCTGCTGCGTGCTCGGATGCGAAATTTTGAGTTCGCGCTTTTCGACGAGCTCACGAGTGCACGAAAAACCGTCGGTGCGAATTATATACATGTCTGGGGCATCTTGTAGCGAGCTGTGTTCGCCCAAAACAGCTTCAGCCTCCTTGGTCTCGTAGTTTCCGATGAAATGCTCGCTATCGAACGATTTATTCTTGAGTCTGGCCGCGTATTGTCGGACGTACGCCTCTTGGGCGATGGAGCCGAAATCGCACACAAGGTTTTCCTGGGACAGCGCCTCGTCTACATCCATCCCTTGGTGAACTCTCCAGCACGCGACGAGAGCGCCGGTGCGCCCGATGCCAGCCTTGCAGTGCACCAGTACAGGTCTCATGCTCTCGTTGTTCACGGCCTCGATAAATCTATCGACATCCTCATCCGTCGGCGGCTCCATGTCGTGAATCGGAATGTGGACGATGTTCAGCGCACTTGGGCCGTACGTCCCTTGTCCGGACCCACCACCGAACGCCTGGAGCCACTGGTTATCTCTATCGGACCCTCTCAGATCGATCACAGTCTTGAAGTTATTGCGAACGAGCCAAGCGCGCCCTTCAGCAGTGGGTTGTCCACCTCGATAGAACGCCGTCCTCGATTCGTTGTCGATTTCCGGGACGACTTGCAAATTCGGGATCGCCGCCCCGCTAGGTGCGTTCGGAGCGCGTCGTTTCTCATGCACGACGTCCAGCGATGCGCTTCTCAACGCTTCGAAGCGGTGTCGAATCGTCACCGAGCATCCGCCGAGCTGATCGCACGTCGATTCGAGCTTGACGCGCAAATCCCACAGCGCGTCTCTCAAACGCTTCAGCTCCTTACTTTTCAGACGACTACTAAACCTTCCGGCGACCTCCGCCGCGGACGCGCACACCATCACCCGTCCTAAAGCCTCCGTCACCTCTCCTGTGCACTCATCCCACGATCCGCTATCGAAATCCACCTCGCACTCCGTCTGCAGCACCTCGGCGAACGACGCGAGCACCGCGCGCTCCAATTGCGCCGCCAACTGCGGCAGTGGCGTTCTCCCGCTCCGGCACGCCCCCTCTCTCGACCGTCCAACTCCATCACCATCTCTATCCGCGTCCATCGGGTCTTCATCGATCGACGGGAACATCTCGCTCTCGGAGATCGCGCGCGGTCGACGCTCCGAGCCCGACCCGCGCGCGGGCATCCCTCTCGCGTGCGCCCCAGCGCGTCGTCCCTCCCTTTCTCTCGCGCTCACCATCCGAGAGTTCCCAACGCCCCCGCATCCCGAACGACGCACCGTGACGCGCGCCGAGACGCGCGCACCGAGCGTAAACATGGTCGACGTACCGAACACGCCGCGCCCACCCCGCGGTTGATTCTCCCTCGATTCCCAGCCTCGGTGCCGCGCGCGACGCGTCGAGCGATGCGCACCGACGCGCGATACCGTCGCCGAGCGCACGACGAGATCCCGACGCGCGCGTGCGCGTGCGCGAGCGCGTGCGCGCGGTCGAACGTCGCGCGCGCGCGGGACCCGGGTCGCCCGTCGCGTCGCGCCGTCCCCGCGTTCCGTCGCGCCTTTCGACATCGACCGACGCCACCGGTGCGATCGAGTGATTCGAAAGGGTCGATCGCGATCTCGTCGGGCACGCGTCGACGTCATCGCGACCGCGGTGCTCGATCGCGCGCCTGTCGATGTCCGATCCACCGGTGGAATACACCGTATCAGCGATAGGTGGAAGACGCCTCGATCGAGCATGCATCCATCATCGACACCGCATCGCACTCGCGCGCCTTTCGATGTCCCATCCACCGGTCACATGACCCATGGCATCGATAGGTCGCGCCTTTCGATGTCCCATCCACCGGTCACATGACCCATGGCATCGATAGGTCGAACGGTATGATCGGGCATGCATTCATCATCGACACCGCATCGCACTCGCGTGCCTTTCGATGTCCTATCCACCGGTCACATGACCCATGGGATCGATAGGTCGAACGGCGTGATCGATAATTCATCGATGATCGATCGATGCGTGCGCGCACATCTCGGTCGCCCACCGATCGCCGACCGCGACACGCGCGGACGCCCCTTTCGATGTTTCGATTCGACCGACGGTGACCCTTTCGACCCTTTCGACGGTTTCGGTCGCGGTCGCGGTCGCGTCCGAGGGGGGGTCGTTGGCGCGCGCGACACCGCGCGAGGTCTCCCTCCATGGCGCTCGCGGCGATTCAACCCCTCGGCGCGGTCGCGGTACGTTTTCTCGATCCCGTCGCGGTGGTTTCTCGAGGGACGACGGCCTCGGCGCGGGGACAGGGCGACGATGGCGTCGGGGCGATGGGCGACGTGTGTGGATAAAATCATCGCGACGCCTCGGACGCGCGCGAGGGCGACACGGGGGGCGTCGAGGGCGCGGTGGATCGATTCGCGATTCGCGCGCGTTGCCTCGCGTGATGACTCGGGACTGACGAAGACGGTGGTTTTGGGGGGGTGCGCAGCTCTCGTCGCGTAAGCGGACGTGCTTCGCGTCCCGGTCGACGACGCGGACGCCGAGCCGGAACGCTCGGGCGCACGGCGTCGTCGATGTCTCGGCGTCGGGGAAGAAGAAGGTATTGATCGTGAACACCAACGGGGGGGGGCACGCGAACATTGGATTTTGGTTGGCGAAGACGCTCGCGGGTGCGGGACACGAGGTGACGATGAACGTCGTCGGAGCGGAGGACGATAAGAAGATGGCCAAGACGCCGTTTTCGCTCTTCGATGAGATTCGTTCCATGGGCGTGACGACGACGTGGGCCGATCCGGCCGATGTGGCGACCAAGCACGCCGGCGCCAAGTTCGACGTGGTCGTCGATAACAACGGTAAGGATATGGACACTGTTGGTCCGGTTGCCGACTTTGCCGTCGCCGCGGGCGCGTCTCAGTTCTTGTTTGTGTCAAGCGCGGGGATTTACAAGCCCACGCCGTGCCCACCGCACGTGGAGGGTGATGCCGTCAAGGAGACCGCCGGGCACGCCGTCGTCGAGGCGCACCTCAAGACGCTTCCGCTGAAGATGTCCTCGTTCCGTCCGCAATACCTCACGGGGTACGGCTCCAACAAGGACTGCGAGGAATGGTTCTTCGATCGCCTCGTCCGAGGTCGCCCGGTCCTCGTCCCGGGCTCGGGCGATCAACTCTCTTCGGTGACCCACGCTGAAGACTTGGCAACGATGATCGCCGCCGCGATCGGCAATGACGGCGCCGCGGGTGAAATTTTCAACTGCGTCATGCCGAAGGCTGTCACGCTCAACGGGATGGTTGAGCTCTGCGCCGCCGCCGCGGGCGTCGAGGCGAAAATCATCAACTACGATCCGAAGGATGTTCCGGACGTCGAAGTTAAAAAGGCGTTCCCATTTCGCCCGATTCATTTCTACTCCTCCAGCGCCAAGGCGCAAAAGGTTCTCGGCTGGTCGCCGAAGCATCCGGATCTCGGCGCCGAGCTCAAGGAGCGATTCGCCTACTACAAGTCCACCGGTCGCGACGCGAAGGAGATGGCGTTCGAAGTCGACGACAAGATATTGGCCGCGCTCGGCAAGTAAGCTATATCTTCGCAATATGATCACAACACAAGTCTGAGCCTATTATACGTAGCCGACTGCGCGCCGTTGATACTAAAACGATATTACACTCAGAGATTCGTCGTCGGAGTCACCGAAGCGAAATCGCCGAGGAAGTTTAGCGCCAATGTTTTCGCCGAAGCCGCTGTCAAAGAAGAGATATTACGCGACAGCGACGCTCGGTGAATCGCCTTCGGACTCGCGTACGCGTAGCCGGCAAGTCTCAGAGTGACTGTGACGCCCTCAGTGAGCGAAGCATACTCATCGCCAAAGTCCGCGTCATTGAACCGCTCGAGTTCGTCGATATCACCATCGATAACGTGCCAGTGCTCGCCCGGACGAGCGGTGGTGGCGATGAGGTTCGCGGCCGCAAGGGATCGCGAGGCGAAATTTTCCACATTTACGACTCGAATGCCGACGCCGTCGTCATCCTCTAGCACAGAAAAACCGTTCTCTCTCAAAACATCCCTGCAGGCCTCGATAGGTCGACCTCGTGAGTTCATGACGTACACTGTTGACCCACGCTGCAGTGCCGATCGAATCAATGGCTTGAGATCCTCGTACACGAACTGCTCTCCCTTCCTTTGATCGCTCACCCGGACTTTGTCCACGGCGTCCTGCAACCCGGCGGGCATCATCTTCCGCCCGTCCCATCCCACAGTTGACTCCACCTCCTCCCCCCACTTTAGCACGCTCATTAATTTAATCTCCGGCCAGCTCGAAACGACCTCATCCACGGTCAGCGGTCGCGTCCGTCGCTCGAACCGTTGCTCCGCCGAGAAAACCGGTCCCGGTCGCCCGCCGCTCGTCGTCCGCGCGCCGATGATCGCCTCGTCCGCGATCACCCTCAGCATCACCACCCCCTCACACGACGTCGATTCCGGGATGCACCGACGCATCTGTCGCATCGCCTCGACGTACGACGCGCAATCACCGACTATGACGTCCCGTCCCCACCGCTCCGAGGCGACGTCGTGCGCCACCCGCGTCATCTCCATCGTCGCATCGATCACCGCGTCGTACGAGAACACCACGACGTCTCTCGACGCGGACGCGCTCGAGCCATCGCCCGCGCTCGACGCGCGCGCGAGCACCGCGTTCGCGCGTCGCGAGCCCGCGCGTTCGGGCATCGAGCGACCGAAATTCGCCCAATCGCGCCTCGTCCCCGTCGTCGAGGCGCGCCT